TCACTAATTTCTCTATTTCTTCTATTCTCTTCCCTTTCTCTGTCTTTTTTGTTTTGTCTCGCTTCCTCGAGAAGTGACTCTATCTTATTTTTTAGGGAACATAAATCTCCCGTAGCTTCTGCTTTTCTTTGGAGGGCTCGCACCATTTCGTTGAGACCCTGTGTTCTTCGTCTCAGTTCGCCACTGAGGCCTCCCTGCATTTTTCCGCATTTGGTGCATATAAGCTCAATGTTTGATAAGTATTCAAGAGCCTGTGAACAGACTTCAGCTGCCGTCATTACCTGTAGTAACCCTTTATCAAATTGCTCGGGAGCTGAGCCGGTTTTCTTAAGTATTTCCTGTTCGGCCAGGATTGGGTCGACTGTCTTTATTTTTCGACGGGGTCTACCGACTTTTCCTTTTTTCCCGTCCCCATCTGCGCCAGATAAGACACTCTCTGGGTTGGAACCTACTTGGACCTCATGATCCATAATTGCTGTACTCTGCGCCGTTTTATTACTAGATACACGCTTCCGAAGCGGGCGCTCCCGTAGCCCTGGATCGGAGGCTACGTCCGACTCGCTATTTAATGAGTCTAAGTCCAATTTACGGATTTTCTTGCGCTTTGTAGAAGCTCGTTTAAGGGGAGCTTCAAGTGAGTCTTCGTCCTCAGTATCCATGGGAACCTCATAAGTTATCTTCTTGTTCATCCTCTACCATGTCAACCCAGCTCTCACAAAATTTTAGGAACAGGATCCTCAAGGGTGCATTCAGGGCTGGGGGCCAAACCCAAAATTGTGTCAACTGTACCTTATCATAAACAGTTAGTTGACTCTTCCTGGACGGTAGCATATTGTTCTATATTGGAAATTAATTGCCCCGTATTGGGAACTCGTTGCTCCATATTGGAGACCTGTCGCTCCATATTGGAGTGTTCCGTAGTACACATTGGAGTTATAGTGGCAGTAGCCATATCCTGCGCAGTGCCCGCCACACACTGCGCTCTGCCCATTGTCTGATGATGACGAAGGCGCGATTGGGACAACATCGCGCGCATCGCCAACCCCTACCATATCAGAACTAGTTAGGGTGATAGTAATCGTTTCTTTAGGCTCCATATTTCATAAAAATTATGCGTTTTTTGACCGGAGGACGCCTCTCCGGGGTGATTTTAAGGATCACCATCCTTATTCACACATACACGCATCACACATACAAAAGGAAGGAGGGGTGTATAAGAAGGGAAGTAAGGATGGGCAGACAAGGAAAAGAGAGAATTTAAGAAAGGATAACGAGGGAAAGGAGGAACAGTTAGGGAAGAGGCGAGGATTGGGGCGTTTTCCCTTAACGGTGTCCTCAAACCGGGCATTTGTAGTCAGGGTTTGCCATCCCCTATCCGCATCAGGCCAAAGCGCCCGGAGGGAGCGGAACCTCCCTCCCTCCCCTTCCGGGAAGGGAAGTGCAATTGCGTGATCTTGGTCAGTCGCCCCGAGTCCACCGGATCCCCCAGTCACCCCCGCAACACCGAAGTATCGAGGGGGAAACAGGGAAGGACCAAAGACCTGGAACGGCCTAAGCCTCTCCACCACGTCAAGGTGGCACGCATTCGGAGAAGTGCACCCTTCTATGGGGGCCGAAAACAGGGCCCGTACACTACGAGTCTTTCGATCCGCATGCAGGCACCCTGCCCATTCCAATTTCATCCCCCTCTGCCGGGGAACCATCCATGGTGGTGTCCCCCCAGGTGTCCAGCCACCCAGGGGGACCCGGAATTTCGCGTGTGCCTTCGTTTCTTTTATAGTGGGGTAAGGCAGGCCCCCACTAGATGGACTCCTGTGTTGAGAAGCGAGCCCACCCTCCAACCGCGCTCTCCTCTTAGGAGGGGCCCCACCTCCTCGGCAGAGAAAAAGAGGAGTATCCTCTGATTACTACTGAGGGGGATGCGACTTCCCCCAGCGTGTGATCAAAGGAACCGCTCGATCGAAGGGTGTGCCCACCGCCCGCTCAGGCACCAACCATTTAACCGTGGTGATCACCATCGTGTGATGCACCGCCGGCACCGTGCGCTCCGCGTTTTCGGAGGAGGCTGGAGGATGCGTACCCCACCCTGTGGATGATAGGCTCGGGACTCCTCATTCCATCGCCCGAAAAGTCAGGAATGGTCCGTCACCCTCATCGACCCTGCCCGTGTCCCTGCATCCGCCTTTTTATACAGGAGGAGTGCAGACTCCTGTTTCGGCCATATCGGCCTCAGGCTCTACGAGGTAGCAGCCGTCACCCGATATGACCGTACCACTCGACGGCACTCGTGACTCGATCTAAGTGTGCTTCCGAATTTCCGGAGAGTGAAGCACAACCCTCTTTCCCACCATGCCGCGTCCACGACATGATGGACCTTAACCTACCCGGGGCTCCCATTGTAGAGCCAGGCTTCGCTTCCACGTGGAAACGATTTGTGCAGGGTGTCTCCATCGCGAGACACCGGAGCACCTGTTCTGCCTACGATTTTTTATCCAAGGGTGGGCAGGCCCCCTGTCGCCGACGTGCAACGTCGACTCCTAACCCGTGTCCCCGCCTCCGCTTTTTTTATTTAGCGAGGGGATGGCGGTCCTTACGCCGTGACGATGCCGACCTCGGGGGGCCAGGTTTCCCTGTACTCCTATCCCCGTCACCCGTATCGTCCCTGCCCGCCATGCTGAATGCCTACGGAATTATGAGAGGAAGGCATCACCCCTATTCAAAACTTTGCCATCTGGCTGAATAAACTACCTACCCGGGATCCCTGTGACCGTATGCCGCCCAGGGGGAATTCGCTTTCTTAGAGGGGAAAGCGGAGAAAGACCCCGGCCGTAAGGCATGGAGGACCAGTGTCCCTCATCCTTTGCATATAGGCCGCCCGAGATGATGAATGGGTTCACCGTCATTCGACTAGAATACCATGGCTTGAGAGCCGCACTCGAAAGCCCCCGCCCCAACTCAGCGGGCGTTCACCCGCCTTTAAAGGCGTGACCATGGTATCCCTATCGACCCCGGTTCGTCCATCCAGCATCAGAAAACCTGAAGACTCTACTGCCCGGTAGCGCAAAACAATAATATGGGGAGAGACACGGATCCCGCCCACACACACGCATCCACACACACACACACACACACACTCGCTTCCACGTGGAAGCGATTCGTGCAGGGTACCTCCATCGCGAGGCACCGCTGCACCCGATCTGCCTACGATTTTTTATTCAAGGGTGGGCAGGCCCCCTGCCGCCGACGTGCAACGCCGACTCCTAACCCGTGTCCCCGCCTCCGCTTTTTCTATTTCGCGAGGGGAAGGCGGACCCCCGCTGCGGTATGTCGGCCTCAAGGCTCTACGAGGTAGCAGCCCGTCGCCCGACATGACCGCGCCATTCGACGGCCCCGTGACTAGAATTAAATGTGCCTCCGAATTTCCGGAGGGTGAGGCACCACCCCTCGCAAAAACTGTGCACGCTTGCTGACTTGTACCTACCCGTGGTTCGCGTTGAGCCATTAAGACCCAACACGACCACTCTCTTTTTAAGGGGAGAGCGGAGAGAGACCCTCGGCGCACGCAGACGTCCCGGTAATGTACCCGGTACGAAACTGACACCTCCAAGAGCCTGCGCTACCGTGAAACCGCCGTTAGGCGGTAACGACCTAGGCCTTCAAGTTCGGGATCAGAGGTCTAAGACATGATCCCTCCCCCTCCAGCCAGGTAAACCCGAGGTGCCTGCGGGAGTTTCACACCCCCCCCCCCGGCCGTGTCGCAGCTTTTAAGACATCTCTGCCTCCGCCCCAACTCGTAGGCGTTCACCAATACTTTAAAGGCGTTACTGCAACACCCGTAAGGAGACCGCTTCCGTCCCTTCAGCACCGTACTCTACTTGCACTCCATGGGGATAAATATACTCCATGGAGTACACACAAAAGACGCCCGAAGACTCTACTGCCCGGTGGCAAACAAATGGCGGAGGTCCTCACCCCTCTCCAATAATGCAGGGAGGGGCTCAGATTCCGCCCACACAAACACACACACACACGCACATGGAGGGAAGGGGGGATAAAAAGAAAGGAGTAATTAAGGAGAGCAGTGCTGGGATTTACTTGCAACTTTCGGCCAGATTTCTTAGCTTACGCCTACTGTTCCCCTCTTACTACTCGCTCCTTAGCGACCGCGCCACCGGACGCTCGTAACTAAGGAGTGATCAGGAACGTGCGACAAGTTCTCTTTATTGTTTATTAATAATAAAAATAAGTATTCTATTATTAATTACGTATATGTTCTGTAATAATTTAAAATATTTGTGTTTTGAATCGTAATTACAATAAGAGAATTTAGATAGATAGATTGCCACATTACATTTGTGACGCACACGTTCCTGAGCGCTTCTTAGTTACGAGCGGCGCGAGCGGTAAGGGGAAAACAGTAGGCGTAAGCTAAGAAATTCGGCCGAAAGTTGCAAGTAAATCCCAGCACTGAAGGAGAAGAAAGAAGGGAAGTGAAATATCTAAGAAGGATAAGCTGGGGGAAAGGGAGGGGGGAAAACAACCCAAAAACCAAGGAACTCTAACAGGAACGGGTGTTCTCCCACCCTTATCGACTCCTGTGCGCCGGGCATTTGAAGTCAGGGTTTGCCATCCCTTATCCGCATTAGGCCCCAGGCCCGGAAGGAGTGGAACCCCCCTTCCTCCCCTTCCGGGGAGGGAAGTGCAATTGCGTGCTCTTGGTCAGTCGCCCCGAGTCCACTGGATCCCCCAGTCGCCCCCGCAACACCTAAGTGTCGAGGGGGAAACAGGGAAGGTCCAAAGACCCGGAGCGGCCTAAGCCTCTCCACCACGTCAAGGTGGCACGCATTCGGAGAAGACCCGGGGGAGAATCTTTTTTTTTTTTTTACGAGAGAGGAGAAAATGCTTCTTACGCACGCCCCGCCCCCCGTAGGGCGGGGCAGTGTGGGACTCGGCCTATTTAACGGCCCACTACCCACTAAAAACTCTTCTCTTTACGTCCGTCAGGTGTGGACGAGACTCCCCAGTGGTTCCCGCGTTAGAATAAGATCCGCCTCGGGAGTCGTGTCCGTTGGACTTGACGTCCACTTCCTCTTCGGGCATCCTCTGTCCGGTGTATGTGTAATGTGTATATTGGCGTGTGCCTGTATATAATGAATGGTGATGAGTAGTTGTGAGTGTAGTGTGTGTATGCGTGTAGTGTTGAGTGCATGAATGTTAGTGTGCGTGTATATGAATGGATGATTACCCTTCCCACCCTCCTCCCTACCAATGTCCCCAAACTCGATCAATGTCCCTGGTATAAGTGTCAGTGTGCTTGTGTATCATGAGAATGAATGAATGAAAGACCACCACCCCTTCCCTATTAGCCCATCTCCCCTTCTTACCCTACCCCCTTCCCTATCCCCTCTAAAGATGACCCCTCGCCGTATTGTGTATGTGTGCGTGTGTGTGTTTGGACCGTTACATATATGGTGTGTGTCAAAGTAGAGTCAAAATTAGTTTAGTATAGTCAAATTAGTTTAGTTTAATTTAGCGATTCATCAATTATTCATTAATGGCACACCAAACCAAGTCGACAATGATGGTAGTCCCTAATCTAGTCAGGCTAAATTAAGCCAGGCTAAGTCAAGTCTAGTCACCGTTCTAGTCAAATCCAGGTCAAGTTAAGTCTAGTCAAATTAAGTCTAGTCAATTCATCTCTAGTCAAATTCGAGTTTCGTAATTAGCCGAGTCTTACTGAGCCAGAATCTGATGCTTCTGCGGCTCTTTCTCTGGCTCTTTCATCGTTTTCTTTGGACAACATTACTTTTTCTGCAAAGGTGTGGAAGGCCTCCCAGTTCTCTTCCGATACTAGGACTTTTCCAATTATAGATCTTAAGGAGAGATCGTTGCCGATTACACTAACTAGCAACGCTCTCTCTTCTGTCCACTGTTCACATACCTGTATCGTATGTTCAGGAGAATCCTCATCCTTTTTACAGAAAGTACATATGGCGGTGTTCGCTTTCCCTATCCGGTACAAGTAGGTGGCAAAACATCCATGCCCCGTAAGCATTTGTGTTATATAGAAAGTGAGAACTCCATGAGATCTGTCTAACCATTGCTCAAAATATGGTAAAATAGCTTCTAAGGTACACCTGCCAGCAGCGTCCCTGCGTTGCAGGTATAATTTCCACTGCCTACGCATAAGTACTAACTCTCCGTTCTTTATCTCTTTTTCTACAAGGGGATTCCACGTATTATCCCGTTTCGAGTCATTTGCACGAATAAAGGTGCGCCTATAATACGCTGCATGGATATGGGTGGGAGGTATCCTTGCCAATAATAGCGCCGCGTCCGTGGACACGGTACGATAGGCCGAGATCACTCGTATCGCAACGTTGCGCTGCATGCGGCATAGCATATTAATAGTCTTCCTTGTATATATTGCCTCGCTCCAAATAGGGGCTCCGTAATTGATTACTGATAAGATCGCATATGCATATAATTTTCGTTTCCTCTCTGATGGTCCTCGCAAGTTGGGCAAGATGCCATGGAGTGCCCTAGTCATCTTGGAGACCTTCTCCTCAACGTACATTAGATGATCTTTAAACTTTCAAGAATTATCTAAGATTAGTCCGAGATATTTGATATTGTCTTGGAGATTCACTAAGTTATTATTGACATCGATAGTATGTAAGTTTTTGTAAATATTTTTGTACATAGGATTCCTAGGTCTAAGTATCTTATAGTTGAACGCGATAGCTCCCGTTTTTTCCGGCGCGATCTGCAATCCAAGGTGTTAGATCCGACGTAGCACCCTACTCAACTGAAGGTTGATACGAGCCTTTGCTTTTTCGATAGTTGAGGCTTTTGTTAATACCAAGGTGTCATCGGCATAACCAATAATCAGACTACCAGCCTCCACTGGAGTACGCAACACGTTATCATAGGCTATGTTCCAAAGTGTCGGCCCGAGGACCGACCCTTGCGGGACGCCAGCTGTTACTTCCTTACAATGTATTTGATTATTCATAGCCGAGTACTCGATCGTTCGGTCCGAAAGATAACTATGGATTATTCTGCGAAGATAAGCAGGAAATCCCTTATCGTACAATGCTTGTCCTATGCAGCTCCACTTGATAGAATTAAACGCGTTGGTAATATCCAAACTGGCTGCAAGCACAACGTGATGATCTTGTCGCGCCTCAACGATGAATTCATTAACCATCTGGAGAGCATTACACGTCGACTTTTGAATACGAAATCCAAATTGATTGGGAGAAAGATTGGCTTCTGGGTGTGTTTGCATCCAATCTTTCAATCGTGAATCTATTATTCGCTCCATGATCTTGCCTATTTCATTTATGAGGCAAATAGGCCTAACTTTAGGATTTAATAGATCTAAGTTTCCTTTAGGGATAAGAATCAATATGGAGTTTTTCCAAATAGTAGGGAATTGTCCCTTTTGTAAATACATAGTGTATATACGACGAAGATGTTCCAGTAGCGATGTAAGCATATTCTTAAGAAAGAGGGCTTTTATCCCGTCTTTACCAGGAGCTTTGTTTACATGCGATGATCGACGTAGAGCTGAACAAATTTCATCACTGCTGACGTCGTACTGCTACTCTTTTCTCCATACAATTTCTTCTGATAGTAAATCAAAAGCATCTAAGTTCCAGTATGGATCCGCAGGAAAAAGTCTCGTGATCGTATGAGATAACACTTCAGGATCCAACATCTCTGATATACTGGGCTTGGATCTACGAATCCTTTTCAATACTATTTTATAAGGGAGACCCCATGAGTCATTCTCAATTGTGGAAATGAGCTCATTCCATGCATTGGACTTGGCTTGTTTAATCGCATTCCGGAGCTTTTTCTTATTAGTACGATAGGACTCCTCCAGCTCTCGCAATCTAATGTCCAGCGTACTGGCTTTTGATTTTGCTCGCTGCCAGTGTCTTCGCGAAGTGAGGCAAACTTTCCGCAGATCTTTAATGGAATTCCACCAGTAAACAGTGGATTTTTTAACTGGCTTAGCCCTAGGCATTGTATAGTCGCACGCCATAGTCAAAGTATCCTGTATCCAGGAAGCAGAGAGGGTATCTTCCGCTGACGCTTCCAAGCCAGTACATGTTAATTCCAGCGCTTCTTGGAATATATCCTTATCGAACTTTTTGAAAGCCCATCTGGCATAACGATGTTTCTTCTGGATACCAGGAAGAGTAGTATTCTTATGTACTTTGAAGAGTATATACACATGATCCGAATAAGTTTCTTGATCCAAGATGGTCCAGTCACTGATCTTAGAGCTGAGTGTTGCGCTCGTCCAAGTAAGATCAACTATCGAGCTTCCTTGGGATCTGATGCAGGTTGGTTGTGTACCTGTATTTACAAGAGTGAGGCCATGAGTAGCACTCCATCTGGCCAGAATATCCCCTCGCACATTAGTTATTGGACTTCCCCACAACATCGACTGCGAGTTAAAATCTCCAGCAACAAGAATGTCTGACTTAGCGAATGCAACACAATCCGTGAGTTCGTCTAAAAATTCTTCAAAAGTGTCTTGGTCACAGTTTGGCGAGACATAACACGAAACTATCAGGACTTCTTGCCAAAGGATCGCTACCGAAAAACGTCCAATCTTCTTTACGATGCCTATGCTTGAGATGTTACTGCATATTATAGTGAATTGCAGCCGTATTGGTTTGGTTACCAATCCAAGTAACATCTGCTGGGATGTTATATGGCTCAGATATTACAGATATTCCGATTTTATGCTCGTATTCCGACTGCATTAGCAGATCTTGTGCTGCCCGGCAGTGATTAAGGTTAGTTTGTAAGATATTAGTCATAATTGTAAATATGTACATAGTAATAATAATAAGTTATGCAATAACTCATTATTAATCTTCCTCCATCTCTGTCTCTATCGTCCTCCTATCGGTAGAGTCTGTCTTCTTGCGTGTGGTACTCCTATCGAGATTATCCGAGGGATCCTCTTCTATTAATGATAAAGTAGCAGCCGGTGTACTGGAGAGATCTGGCTTCTCTTTGGATGGTGGTGGGTTCGAGATACCAGTGCATCTGAGTGAGTCCATACGGTGAGTGTATTCGCGACCTAAGTCGAGGCATGTCATGCAACGAACTTGATTGTTGCAATTAGCGACCGTATGTCCAGCTCTACCACATCTAAAGCAAGCTCCAGTGTGGTCCCTACTGGATTTACATGTAGCCCGAACGTGGCCAATCTGCCAACAGCGATGGCACTGTATTGGGCGTTTCTTGAGGATTTCCACATTGACTGTGGACCAACCAATTTGGATCTTCTTTTTCTCCGCCAGTGCAATTGCCGCGGTTTTCGGGCATTGAACCCAAATTACTCCGACGCCACCTTTAGTACGACCAATTTTACCGGCATGGATATCGCTGATCTTACAGTCTCCCATCGTCGCAACAGCTTCCACAACTTCTTCCTTGGAGATGGACACATCCATCCCAGTAAGTCTAATTTCTCCGTTAAGAATAGGACGAGAAACATGGGCTTCTTCCTTGAGCACCCGTTGAATCTCAAGTGCCAATCTGTCTGCTTTAGAAGAGTTATCGGGTCCAGATATCTCGATGATGATATTACCGCTTATGCCACGCCTAATTTTAGGCATTTGGATCCCTAATTCTTGGAGGGAAATTTCCGTTCTCATCTTCTTCAGGGCATCAGCATATGAAAAATTGGCGGTAGTGCCTTTGAGACTAACGGTCGCTGTTTTCGGCAATCGCTTCTTCTCAGTACGGACGGTTGATTTGCCCTGTTTGACATTCGGCTGTTTCTTTTCCTTAAGGACTCTGTCCTTCTTTCCTACTTTATCCCACTGTTGATCCTGTGGGGGGGAAATCTGCTGAGTTTCTTCTGGTAGCTGCCGCCTACAATCATCCTGCTGAAGAGGCTTTATCTGGACGTTGCTGATGATCTTGATATCAGTTCTCTTATTCTTCTTAGTCGCCTGGGCGAAAGTCATGCTAGGTATCTCTGTCTGTATCAGGGAGGACTCCGTTCGCATTGGAATGGCAAGTGACCTACCTTGCAACGGAGGTCTCACTCTTTGGATAACCCTGGAGTGGGTTGCGTGGGTTGTTTATGTACAACCTCCTTTTCCTCACTTATGCTATGTACCTGTCTATTTACACTATGTACAGTATTTGTACATTTATTTACACTATGTACACCATGTAAATACTCATCCTCATTGTATATAGCCTCATCTTCATTGTATATAGCCTCATCATCATTCTTCATTGAGGGTATTTCATTGATCCGTCTAGCTTTCTCTTCCCTCATTTCTGTGAGAGCGCGTCTGAGCTCCAATCGAATGCTCTTATTTTCGCGTTGTAACTCCTTAATGGTGTATTGGAGTTCACTAACTTCTCTCTTACGACGCTCTTCTTCTTTTTTATGCTCTTTCATTTCCGTTAACAGCTCTTCAATTCTTCCTTGTAGAACCTGTGGATCTCCAACTTGTTCCGCTCTTTCTTGAAGCGCACGAATACATCCGCTAAGACCTTGTGTCTTTTTACGTAGCTCGCCGCTTAATCCACCTTGTAGTCGTCCACTTTTGGTGCGAATGACCTCTATCGCATCAATGTACTTGAGTGCAAGAGCGCCAACGTCCGAGGCAGTCATGTTCGACAGCAATTCAGCGTCTATGTCATCGGGAGCCTTCCCAGTCTGCTGGATGATTTTTTGCTCAGCGATAATCGGATCAATAGCGCGCACCTTTCTTCGAGGTCTACCAACTTTGCGCTTGCTACCACTCTTCGAGCCCGGAGGATCATTATCTACTGTAGAGCAGTTTGGAGCTATTATATCCTCATCTGGATTAAGACTAGGAGTAGCCTTACGACTCAGAGCTTTCGGACGAGCTCGTCTACTATTTTCTCCTGAAGAGCTATTTTCGGAAGAGTCGGTATCAATTACCCGACGTTTCTTCCTTTTAGTCGCAGCGCGTTTGATATCATTAGCTTCTTCATCTACGTCCATTACACTGGGTTCGCTAGGAGCCACTATTGAAGCAGTTTTCTCCTCTTCATCAATAAGATTCACCCAGCTCTGGGATTCCAGGGCGGGCACAATACTTTGTTGCGTATCCAAAGGAGAAACCTCCTTAGCTATTGACGCATCTTGAGTTATTTATCCATCAGGAACGGACTCATCAGTTGGAGGAATGTGAGTGCCACCTATTGGAGTGTGGCCTTTTCCTCTACCATATTAGGGGCGGCAGTAGCTACTTTCTTCGCGACTCCTGCCGCATTCGTCGCGATTGGCCCATCGTCCGATGAAGACGCCACCGGAGCTGGGACAATACTCCGGCTGACGCCCACTCCTGCCGATCCGACTCAGCTGGAGTAGTA